TCTGCTTTGTAATTTGTTTTTTCTTCCACCTTTTATTTTTTGCTTTTCTTCCTATTCTTTTATTATTATTATTATTATTGTTCACTTTATCAGCGTTTCACTTTTTTTTATTTTCTCTCTTTTTGTTTTATACGCCTTATTTGCAGATAGATCTCTTTTTTTCTTTTTAAAATTATTTTTGCATATATATATTTTCGTAGTCTTTTTGCACGGCGTGTTTAGCTCCGTTGCCGTACACAAAATTTGGGCCCTATGGCAGCGAGGGAAGGATCGGTGTGCTTGTGTGGGGGGAGGCGGTCACATGATGCGGAAACTGTCTTTGCGGGTGGCAGCGAGTGCCCCAACAGTCCTCCCATTGACGATTTTACTCACGTCTTGAGGTCCGCTCACGTCAATTTTGGTCATGTGAGTCCTGGAGCGTCCTCCATCACGGCGTCTGGGACGGTGAGGGAGCAGCCCTCGCCAATTGTTGAGCGTATCACGCAGGGTCTATTGGCCTCCAGCCTGGGCTGCGCAAGATGTGCGCAGATTGACGGCATTCGTGAATCCCTGAAGTGTGTGGAGGCGTCGTACCTGGGTGAGATTGCACAGCTGAGGCGAATGGTTGGGCAGATCGACGGGGAGCGTATGGATGCGGTAAACCGAATGGAGCAGACACTTTTAACGTTTGAACGCGGTAGGCAACAGAGTTTGTCTAAGGATTGCGAGATCCAGTCGCTTATTGGTCAGCTACAACAGATGGAAGATAGGTCGCAACGCCTTGAATACGAGTTAGATTCATTGCGTCAGCTTTACAGGCGTGAAATTGCGTTCTACCACCAACGAGAGATGTTTCTTTTCCTGGAGAATGAGCGATGCGCTAGGGCGGCATTATCATCCACAGAGGATGGCTGGCGGTCTGCACTGGAAACAAGGCACTTGAGTGTTGTGGAGGTAGACGGAAAGATTCACCGTTCCTACCCACATCAGAATTTTTTGTTTTTGGATTTCTCCAAAGAAAATGAAGGAGGATCTTCCATGCGCGGTGGCCTTTCGCCTGGCTTGGTCCGGTCTCTCCCGCCCTCTATTACCCGAGATGCTAGGAAAAATCGAAATGGAGGTGGTGGGAGCAAAGCTTCTGACATAAAAGGAGGGCTTTTGACGGAGCTTTGGCAGTCCAAGAGGACGTTGAATGAACTCAATGAGAAGTTGCAGCGTGAGCTGAGGGCTAGAGAGGATCAAATTTCAACTCTACGTCAACAGCTCTCTGTCCGAGAAGAAAGTCTTGTGCAGTCATCCGAAGAACGTGCGGAAGAAGACAATCTCAAAAGGGAAATGCAGGAGGAGATTGACGACATGCTCCGTACTGAATTTTTTCTTACACAAACGTGTGAGCGACACCGTTTGGAGACAGAAGCAATGGAAGGACGTGCTCATTTGTTGCAGTGGCTGCTGCAGCGACATGTTTTATTTTCGCAAGAAAGAAACCTCATGTTTCTTGAAAGGACACCAGAAAAACAGGGTTTAACGGAAAAGGTTTGGACGCCAGGGACACTACCTTTTTTCATTTCTTCCAATGACGATGTTAAACCGGACGTATACGTCAACAGGAGTAAGTATAGCCTGTCTTGTCAGCAGCAGCAGCAGCAGCAGCAGCAGCAGCCTGATGAATTATATGCTGTTGTTTCCCAAGCGGTCTCGGAGACGCTGCAGAGTGTTCTCACCCATCAACCTTTTCTGATAAAACGGACTGCGGAGGCTATTTGCGCGACTGAGGACGAGCTACACAAAAACAGCAATAATTTTGTACAAAAAATGCATTACGATGAGGACGACAACGTAATAAATGCCGCAGGAATAAATGCGTCTCACGAGAAACTCCTTGGCGATGTTCGACGTGTTTTGCAAGAGTTTTGCGCGGCAAATCCACCGCAAGAAATCGTTGACCTCAGTCCAGTTATAGATGCCCTAAAAAAAGTAGCAAGGCTGACATCGCACAACGCCAAGGTCATGGATGACAAGCTGAACGATATGCTTATTTTGCAGTCTGCAGTGGCCCGAGAGCTTGCGTTGCTAACCACACCATCTGCTGGGAGGCGAGTTGATGAGTCACCGTCTTCGAACGTCTCCGCTACTGCCTCACTGTCCATAGTGGACGCCGGGGTCGCAGGTGCGAACAACAAAGCTTCACCAATTTCTAGACGGGCTCACCCGAAGCCACTGAACTTAGATAAATCACCAGCGGGGAGAGGCGAGGGTAACGCGCCAGTTATTTTACAGGCGAAGCCATCTCATGAGTGGGACGTGGCAGAATCCGATGATGAATCGATTCCTCCAATACCTGTTTTTTCTTCCTTACGGAAGACGCCGTACGATGCGGACGAGTTGTGAAGCACGAAAGAGGCGAACTTCTTTCCCACCCAAGATTTTTATTTGCCCTGTGTTTTATTTTTACTTTTTATTATTTATTTATTTTTGGGAGAAATCCTCCATTGTGCGTTGATTGTCCGCTTTCAAATTACCTCCTTTCTTCGTTATTTTACATAGATGTAAAGAAAAGAGGGATTTGCTGCGTTACAAAGGGTCTTTTTTTTTTTGTGCGTGTTTGCTTCGTTTACTCTAGGCGTTTTGTTTTGGAATGTGACGTGAACCACACAATTTCCATAGAATTTTTTTGATTTATTTTTGTTCTCTCTCCTTTGTGTGTGTTGTTGATATTTTTTATATTTTTTTTGCGGATGCGTTTTACGGTCTGCCACCAGCATCTTCTCCAGCCGTGTTCCCTGCAAAAATAATAAAACATTTTTTTATTTATTTATTTCTGTTTTTTTTTTTTTTTGTGTGTGTGCAAATATCTTTGAAATGCCTTTTTACTTTGGAAGGGGGTGAAAAAAGGGATTGTTAGAGTGCGTACTGTGCGGCCATGATCGCTGGCAGAAAGAGAGGGAGAGATGAGGTCGACGACGCGTTGTTGGAAGAAGTTACTGCTGCAATTCAGAGCGTGGCAGCAGAAACCGAGGACATTGTGGGTAGCGTGGGGAAGGTGAATGGAGCGGTGTTGGCGTCTCTGTTGGAGAGATTCCGGCAAATGGAAGTGGCGCTGAACGCCTCTGGCGGTTCCACTGTGCAGCTGTGGAAATTAATTGTGCAGAGTCAGCGGAACAGAGTTGCCGACGCATTGAACCACATCGCTGTCGCTGATGATGCGCGTCGAAAGGGTCATCTCATAGCAGCGCTTCAAGAACAGCTACTAAGCTCTGCTTCCTTGGCTGCGGAGGGGGTGTCAAGTGGTCTCTGCAGGGCCCATGAGACAGCAGTTGCGTTGTTTTCATCACAACTAGCCGGAGAACGGGAAACAAACAATAAACTTATTTTGCATGTGCAAGAGCTTCTTCGACATTCACTTGAGGCCATTCAGGTGTCCTCTCGTCGGGCAATGAAAGCGGAACTTTTATCATTCAAAAGGGACATTTTAGTCGCTCGCCTCCAAAGTTCTCTTTCTTTCTATCAAAATGCCTCGCTGCGTCAACATGAAGAGGTCATGGCGCTCATCAAGATTGTTCGCATCCTTGCCTCAAAGGGCAAAGATGCTGATCTTGCCGAAACAAAGTTGCGTCAGGCCAAGACACATGTGAAGCTCCTTGAGAATCACTTGGAACTTGCGGGGATTGTTGAGGCTATTTTGCCACCCAAATTTGTTCCCCCTCGCCAAGGCACAGAACCTCCTAATGAGGATTTAAAACGCACCGCACCGGAGTATTTTGCTCTTCGACTCTTAGAGCATAAAGATATGACACTCTCAGAGTTGGTGGACTCATGGCAGAAGCAGGAGGCACGTATCATGGCTGCCGAAGAGAAATATAGGGAGTTGGAGTTGTCACTGGAGTCTCTACGGCGGGAATCTCTGACAGTGCATCAGGGGTTTCTTGAAGAAAAAAGACGGCGCGAAGTGGTGGAACAGCGATTGGTTGATCTTGTTCGTGAGCGGATTCGTCCAAGCAGTAACGATGCTCTAGTGCAGCAACTTACGCTGCTTCGGGCGGACCATACAAAGGCACTTGATGACTTGGCTCAGATGGCAACATTGGTTAACGTTACTCGGGAAAGGTTATTTGCGGAACAGCAACGAAACGCGTTACTAGAGAAGAAGCTGCAGCAAATGCAAGATGACTCCGCGAACGATGAGGTGGCGAACACCTTGGCTTCGCTGCGTCATTATTACGAAGAAGAACTTGATCGGTTTCGAAATGGTCTGGTGGACGCAGACACAAGGAGTGCGGTGGCGGCGGCGTCATCAGAGATTCAGCAGAAGGCATCGAAAAATGCAAGCAATGCCTTGATGGTGACAGAGCAGACTTTAATGGATATGTCTGCTGCTCTAAACCGTGTAGAAAAGCAGCTGTTAATCGACCAAGAAGCGTGCGGTTTTTCTTCCTCGGAGCGTATTGCAGAAAGTGCGGTAAAGGTACTGGCGGAAAGCGAGGTGCATTTGAATAGGACAATCCCAACCTTTAAAAGGATGATCGAAGAGTCAGAGATTCGGCAAGAGAAAGATATGGCGTTTTTTGAACGGCAGGTGAAGCAGTTACTGGAGTCTTTACAATCACTTCTTCCTACGGTTTCACACAGTGAGGTTACAACTGGTGCTGAAATTATGATGGTGCAGCAACAACAAGAGGTCCAATCGATGATGCGAGAGGCATTGGTTCACGCCCTGCAGTTTGTTTCTGATAATTTGGTCACAAATGAGATCAGTAAGACGAGACTTCTGGACACTTCCATCTCGGATGCACGTCGGATCAGCCTGTTGTTTGAGAAGGTGCAAAAACTCACAGTGGATCGTGATGCGGCACTGGAGCGACTGGCGCGGTGTGAGCGAATTATTGATCAGCACAGCTTAACTGCCGTGGAAAGAGTTTTAATGCACGAAGTCCCGGTTGAAGAATCGCTTGATGCCATGGAGGCAGCTGAACAGATTACCACATTGCGCAAAGAGGTGTCTTCACTTGGTGCAGCTCGAACAGCTGCGCTCGCTGAATTGAAGGAATTACGCAAAGAATTAAAGGAGAACAACCATGAGAGGGAATTCGCAGTGGCGCGATTTGAATTGCTTGAACATCACAACAGTCGTCTCATTAAATCCATTGAAGAATGTTTGGCGCGCGAGGTGGTCCTCATTGAACAGGTGCACCAACTACAGCGGAATCTGCAAGAAGGGAAAAAAATGGAGCTACCGGTCTTACCAACGGGTGATTCTAATGAAACGACGGAAATGGAGAGGTTTATGCCGTTGATGCAACAACTAGAACAACTTACGGGTGGAATTAACGAGATGAAGGAGCAGCTGTCGCAGGTACAAAGAGTCATCTTTTCTTCACCCGCCGCTGAGGGTGACGTGACGGAAAAGCAGCTCCTGTGCAATGGTGTGCGACAGGTGGCTGACGCACTACGTGAGGCACTCCAGCATGCGGAGATATTCCGTCACGCCCTTCCATTGGAAGTCACAAAAGATGCAGCTTTATCAATTGTTGGATCCTCTGCCGAAACGATGTCAAACAATGACGGGCATGAAAAAGCGGAGACAATTTCAGAGCTGGGGCGAAGCGTTGCAGACGCGCCAGAAATGGATGAGCGTGACGAGGAGTTGGTCCGGCTCCGCAGCAAGGTTGAGACCCATGAGCAAATTGAACAAGCACTGAGGAAGCATGAGAGGGACCTTCAGGAGCAGAATGAGGGTCTTCAGGCGAAGATTTTTAGGCTTCTGCAAATTAATAGGCAGCTCTTGGAGGAGTTAAAGACCACTCGCGCTTCTTCTACTACCAGCGCTAACAAAGCACCACAAGGTTAACGAGGCATTTAGAAGAACGAAAAAGAACAGCAATAACCGCAATCAGGGAGAAAAAATGAGGAGGGGAGTGCGCGTGGTTTTACAGTTTCTTGGAGGTTGCTATTATTAGTCCTTCTCGTCGTTCTGTATTAATTCCCCTGTTATATATATGTATATTGTTTTTGTTGTTTTTATCTTGAATTATGCATTTTTAGGAATGCGCAGTGTTGTATGCTTTTTTACTTTTTTGTCTTAACGCACTCTTGTTCATCTTCATATTTTCAGTGGAAGGGGTAGCTTTTTTTTTACTTATAACCCGCATTATTTGCATTAATGAGCGACCGGAAGCCAAACGTGAAGTTCGCGGACATCAGCGAGGAGATGCAGAATGACGCAATGACGGTGGCCACGAAGGCAATTAAGGAGCACCAAATGGAAAAGGATATCGCCGCCCATATAAAGAAGGAGTTTGACAAGCGCTACAATCCCACCTGGCAATGCATTGCTGGTCGAAGCTTTGCTGCTGACGTTGTTCACGAAAGCAAGCACCTTATTTATTTTTATGTTGGTCAGATGTCAATTCTTTTGTGGAAGACGGGCTGAGGCCCTGATACGCCAAAAAAATGTAATTACTGCATTTTTTTTTTTTTTTCATACTGCCGTTATTTCCGTTTTGGGAGGTTTTTCTCCCGCATTTCTTTATGTTTTAATTTTGGATCTGAGGGCGTTTTTAACCACGATGTTGATGGCTTGTCTCTCAGCTTATTTTATTTTATTTTATTTATTATTTTTTGTTTTTGTTTTGCGGAATTGCGATGAGGGAGAGGCGTCTGCATGCTGGTGGGGGTGCGGGAGTATCGACGAGAGGAGATTCAGCGCATATGCGGGACATCGGCCGAGGCACTTGTCTCGTATTACACGCTTCTTCGCAACAAGAACGAGGCGATCATGGCGGATGTAACAGATGCCCGGGCAAGGAAAAACATGAATTTTGATTACTACATGACAACAGCCAATAGTCTTTTTGAGGAGGCGGTCAGGCCCATCATACGTACCGTTTTGCCCCCTATATCTTCTCCACAAGTTGTGGTCGTGGTGGACGGGACAGAGACGACACGGTTCCACACCTTGCTGGACCCAGAAGAGGGTATTCTGGCACTCTTTTGGCGCTTGTTGATGGATGCGGCGGAGTTTAGAAGCATCCTGGAGGCGGTTTACATCGCTGTTGTGGAGCTGGACGACAACAATCGACTGAGGGATATAACGTGTGCAGTTACTGCGGAGAAGGAGCCGATCATCTTTGAGGATGCTGAGGATCTTTTCACGTCCGTCGAAGACGCGTCCTACATGGAAATTAGGACCGAAGCAGATATTGCGAGGCTAATGCAGCATGCACTTCGAGTCGCATTGCCTGAACGGCATCAAATTTTTAGTTTTATCCTTGTCCCCCAAAAGGCATCAGGTCTACCAAATTGTACCATTCAGTTCGTCGCGTTGTCAGTGTCTGAAATGGCACGAGGAATGCGGTCTACTCGACACTGCATCACGACGGCAGCGTCGCTTATAGAGAGCCGGTCCCCTTCAATGACTTTTTCGGGAACAAAACTCTCATTTCTCCTCAAACCCGCACTTCTTGGTCAACAACCGGGTTTATGGATTTCTTGCTTTGCCCCAACCAGTGTAGCAGCTCTTAAACAGCGGGAAACGTTCAAGGAGTCCTTCTGCATCGCACATACATTGTGTCGTGTGTACAGCTCACGTGTTGGTGCGAGTGTGAGTGAGGCTTGCCAAAGAATTGGTTTTAAAGAAGGAGATTATTCCAATGAGAACTGTGACGAGCAGGTGGAGTTACAACCCCGCAAGGATGTTCCCAAACCGAGTTTGTTAGGCCCGTGGGAGAAGACGAGGAGGAGGTTGTCTAAAACCACTTCGCTGCACCCTTCCTTATCGGTATCATTGTTATCATCGTCATTTTCCTTACACTCAACACCAAATGCAGGTCAACAAAAAAAAGGGGAAGAAAGAGGAAACAGTCCCACTTATGGAATTAACGACGAGCATTTGTCCTCCTTGGCGGCACCACAACAAAAACCAACGGGCCTTCTTGTCACTCCATCTGAACGGAGGACGAAGTCGTTAGACAGTAATAAAACAGGATTTAAAAAACGCAGGGACGTCACAAGCAATGGTCGGCGGTCATTGAGCCGTCCTTCACACGACCGATGCAGTTCATTGGAGAAGCATCCGTACAATTGTAGTGCGAGGTATGAGTTAGAGACCTACAAGCGCGTGATGGAACCGGCAATGAATCGGTTGCGAGAGGATATTCAACACTATATGACCCTGCTGGAGGATGCGAGACGGCAGATTCGGCGGATCAAGCGTGTTAACAATGAGGAGGTTGAAGTTGAAAAGTTACGGGATTCTCTCTTGACAGCCAAGCGAGATTGCGCGTCTCTGGAAGCAGAGTTTACAAGACGTGAAGAAATGCTTCAATCAAGAGTGAGTGAGCTTCAAACTCGGTGCGAAGAGCTCTCCCAGCAATTGCGTGGTCAGACATCATGTGCAGCCCCCGAGGGAGAAAAATTACCACACAAGAGCATTTCTACCCAGACGCACAACCCAGTACCTTATTTTCCTCCGTTATCGTCGTCGCCACCACCACCATCGGCACCTTTGCCTGCAGAGGATGGATTGGTTGCATTCCGGAATTTTCCAAAAGATTCCCCACGAAAAGATGTACAGCATGCATCGCAGTGGCTTGAAGTTGTTAATTATCATCAACGAGAATTGGAAGATTATGCCGAGCGTGAACGTTCCTATCGCAACCGTATTCTTCTCTTGGAACAGAAGCTTAGTGAACGTGAGTCCGAGATGGCACAGGTAAGGGCGGAGCTGATTCGACGAGATTGTGAAATTTCTCTGGAGACGGTGAGTAATCAACGAAGAGAACACGAAAAGAAAATGGACCAATGTCAGTTTGAAGATGTGGAGTACCTGCGTGCTAAACTGTTTGAGGCTAACAATGTCAGCTCTAGGGTGGAGCAACATCTTGAATCATGCATAAATGAATTGAAAGAGGAGCGGAGGCAGCGAGAGGCATCAGAGGCAGAGCTACGCCGTCTACAGGGGTTATGTGCTCAGCATATGGAAACTGGGGCTGTGAAGGAGATGATACAGATGGTGAAGGAAAGCTATGAACGCCATGTTAACCACCTTCAACGGGAAGTAGAAGAGCTGCGAGGAGTGGCTCATCAAGCGGTTTCAAATGAAATGATTTCCCGAGCAAATAGTTCTACCACTTCTACGCCTCGGCAAAGGCCACAAGGGCATCAGCATGGCGGAATGGTTTCTCCTGCCATCGAAACGTTACAAGCTAAATCCATGTTTCCTTCTAAACCCTCAATGCCTGACGAGACTAATGCCACCAATGATGTCCCCTCGACACATTCTAAAACAATACCTGCGCGCAGTGGAGTGAGACGGTTTGAGGATTTTATGAAAGAGGAGCCGTCATATACGATTCGTTTACCAAAGGCACTTGATCGCGCCAACCTTTCATAACTGGATGAATGTCTTACTGGAAGATGAGTTGCGGATAGATTGAATACACCAGCAACTCTCTTGGCATCTTCCGAGTTTAAACTTATGTGGAGAGTTTACTCTTCTCTCTCTTTCTCTGTAGATGTTTTTCTCTGGCTTTTGCTTTATATGTGCTTGTTTTGCGGCGGGGGTTGACGGGCGATGTTCCTTTTTTCTTGACGGGAAAGCACAAGAAGAGAGTTGATTTTGTTGTTTTTCCACCTCATTTTACTCTGCACCATTATCGGAATGGGAAATAAGCGATATTTTTCTTATATATATATATATGTATATATTAATCCTAGTGTTAGAACTTTATGAAAGCACGTTTAGACGTTGTATGTGTAACTGAACGCTGTTTTTATTTTTATTTTCTTTGATAATCGTTTCCGATTGTTTTTATAAAAAAATTGAAAGCATCTCATTACTGATGAAGCGGCCTCGTTACGACAGCGACGATGATGACGATTACGCAGAAGGGTCGCTTCTCCCATACGCGTTGGAAAACAAGGGCGACTTTTTAATGGCTATGGGTGTAGGTGGACGGGAGTCCAGCGATGAAAGTCTCAGGAGTGTAGAAGAGGTGAGCGTTGCGCCGGAGAAATGCAAAGAGAAGGAGCGTCAGGATGCAGAGCAAAAAGAAGAGCTGATGGAATCATTCTTTTCTCCTTCCATGGTCGTTGACCGACTGCAACGCCAGGCGCTTCGTGTCGATCATGACGTTCCGGAGCATTGGAAGGGCTTACTTTCCGAGGGTTTGCTTCAAGTGTACTTCACTACGCTGAGCTACGCAGAGAAAAAAAGAATGGTTGACGATAAATTGCTCTCCCAATACCTCCCCCACGATGCGAAGCGATTTCCACCGCTCGGTCGTCCTACTGACCGAAAATGGGACAATGCGTTTGGCATCAAGCCTGGTTGGCGCTGGGACGGTGTTGTTCGTGGTGTTGGATCGTTGTGAGGGCTTTTCACCTCAGTTTCTTTTTTTTTGTGTGTTGTTGTTGATTAAGTGTAGGTCTGTGTGTGTTTTCGATGCATTTTGCTTAAAATTTAAAATTTTTACTCCCTGTGAAGTCATTTTGGTTATGGGAGGCGTGAAAAGAAGAATATGTATTTTCTCTCTCTCTTTCCCAGACAAAAAAGACGGAATGATGGGCACTTTTTCTCATTGTTTCCTTGTTGTTGTTTTTGGGTGGGATCAAAGGTTGTGAATGTTATGAGCTCCAGTATTTACTCTCGTGAGGACGAGAAGCGCCTGTCAGAATTGCTGGAGCGGGTAAACTGGGGCGGGGAGCTTTCCGAGGAGGAGCGGCTTGAACTGGCTCGGCTTAAGAGGCTTTATCAAGAATTTATTGAAGAAGGGGAGCGGCGGCTGCGGCTGCGTGGAGGGCACGAGAAGGCTGCTGCCACAAACTCTGACGGCCCGGGCGATGTGCTCCTCACTTTACAAGAGAGTGTAGCCTGTGCGGGAAAGGCGGCGTATTTTTGGGGTTCTCTTGTTGCCACTCTTGTGCCGGGCTACTTTGGACGCAAAGTTGGCCTTACGTCGGGTTTTTTGCACTGGAACTTTATAACCGATCGACTTATTCTCGGTGCTCTTCCCGTGGTCACAAGGGTTGGTAGCAGTGGAAACCATCTGGTGCAGATACGAGAACAGTTGGAGTCTCGTAAGCAGAAGCTAGGCCTTGTTATTGCATGTCTAGAGGATGCGGAAGTTCAGGGTTTTGGTCTTCAGATGATCAGTTTTGCCGATGAGTCGAGTTGGCATGAATATGTTAGTCCTGCCGTGCGGTATATTCGTCTGCCGATGCCAGATACTACGGCCAATATATCTTTTGGTAGCGTTTTGTATGCCGTGAAACAGATGCATCACTGCATCAAGGAGCAGAATTGTGTGGTTTATGTACATTGTAAGGCCGGAAAAGGACGTAGCTGGATGGTGACAATGTGCTATCTGACTTCCTACGGAGGGATGACGTTTGACGACGCGGAGCAACTAATTCGTTTTACCCGTTCGCAAATTAATCCTTCACCATCTCAGCGGGCATTTGCAGCTCAATTTGCCTCTCGAATACCGGCGCAAATAAGTGGAAGTTGATGAGTGTCTCTTGGGTTTCCGCTTGCGGCGTGGCTTTTTTTTTGTCCTTTGTATGGATGTACCCAAAAGAATATAAATAAAAACACATACCAAGGGAAAAAAAGAAAGGAATGGGGGGCATATTTACCGAATTTCTGCAATATCCTAAAAAAAAAAAGGGAGTGTATTGTTGTCGTTGAGTTTTGGGCTTTATTTTATTGCAAAGCGAAAAATTGGAAGAGGAACTAGTTGGTGAAAAGAAGAAGGCTGTGGCTAATGTGGACAAAGCCTGTAGTTTAAGTGAATTTTATGCTCTTTTTATTTTCTTGCTCTTTTTAATTTGCGTCGTCATATATATATATTTCTGCTGATGAAAGTTTTCACGGTTATTGGTGTTGACATTGCTATTGTGATTAAATTCTCGGGTGCGTCTTGATTCCTTTTTTTTATTATTCTTCTTCATTTGCTGCGATCTACTATGCTTTTATTATTATTATTATTATTGTTGCTGTTGTTGTATCACTATGAGTTTATTTTTGGCTGCGTAAATGGATCTTTCGCTGGGGGAGACAAGTGATGCGATTGCTTCGCTTGCAGAAGGCTGCAGCTTGGAACACATTGCGGAACTTGCGACGCAGTGCGAGTCTCACTTGGCGAGCGTCGAGGCAATTATGGATGCCACGGAAAATGCCCTACGCACTTCCCAAGGGCCCCGGCGCCTTGTTCTTTGGTTTTTCATCGATCGTCTGGCCAAGCAGCATGCCAATTTTTTGGACGCGCTTCGGCCGCGTCTGCGGGGTCTTGCAGCGACGGCAGCTCCGGCGGTAGGAACTGCGGAGTGGGATGACTTCAAGACGCTTTTAAAGTCGTCGATTGCTGTGGTGTTTGGTGCCCCGCTGGTTTCTCTTATTTTGTTGGAGATTGACCCCGATACGCAGAAGGAAACTGCCAGCACCACTAGCACTACAGAGCGGAGTCAGGGTATTCTTGCAATGCACAGCAACGCCATGCGTACTAGCGGCGCGTTTTTGACGAAAACCATTGGAACGCAGAGACCGGCTGCGGCGAAACACACGCTGCAAGTGAAAACTATTGACAGTCAGATGGCGATGAACATGGCGAGTAGCTATGCCCCTGCGCGGCCGCAGGAGATTGCCGTCCCTGAGATTCATCCCGATGCTGACGCGCCGCATGGGCATGTGAAGGCACTACCTTCCGATTACCTGAAGAATTATGAGAACACTAGAAGAAAGCGTCTTCGTGAAGTGATGGAGCGAAATAGAAAGGAAATGGATCGCCGCCAGGAGGAAGAACTTCTTCACCGTGTTCGGGGTACAGCTATTCAAAATGGAAAGATGCCCGATTATTCTGATGTGGTTATGCCGTTGGAGTTTCCACGTGATGAGCATGGCGTGAAGCGGGGATTTTTTCCGCTCGGTGTACGCTTTATCCGAGAGGCAATTAGAAGTTGTGGTGGAGCAGTGGAGTTGGATGTGCTGGTCAATCGGCTATCTACACTAGCGAGCAAGGAAACTGTGGCGGAGTTTGGTGATGTGCGTGAATTTATTCTTATTCATCGGCCTACTTTTCGTATAACGAATGAAAGGAATCGTTGGATTGTTCGTCTCGCGGGGGACGAAAGTTCTGATCCGACTTGGGAATCTTTGCAGTGCCCGCTGTGTTCCAAGGTGATGCGTGGGCGCAACCTCGCGCGTCACATGGGCTGCAGACAATGTGTCACAACCCAAATTGCCCTTGGACTTCATGGCGAGGTGCACGGCCCTATTTCTGAACTTTCCTTTGTCGCAAAGTCCATCATTGACCGAGGAAACGAGTATGATGATTGGGATTTGGAGTGGTTCGCCGACTGCTTAGAGAGGTCCGCAAACTGCCGACGTTTCAAGCTTTCCTCACAGTCGAAATTTGCTCCCATATTAAAGGCAATGCGTGTTGTTCGAAACCGCTGGTTGGCGCGGAAAGGGGTGGCGAATGTTTCGGAAGCCGCCGTAGATCCCAGCGATGCGGCTGTTGCGAATCTCTTTCGAACAATTGGGCGAAATGTGAACCGCCTTCCAATTCCTTGGCTGGAAATGGGCGATATGGTCGACATTTGTTGTCGTTTTTCAGATTTGGTGTTGCCTCCCTTTAATCCCCCGCCGCGACCTGCCGACCCCCGCATTAGTCTGCATAATGAATATCCGGGCTTTCTTCTTTGTGAGAGTGAAGTTGACGACGAGGACGATCCGAGTGATGATGAAGACGCATTCTCTGATGATGAGGCGCCCACATTTGTCTTTGCGCCTCCGGTCGAGTTGGCCGAAACGATTTTCACGGCAGGCTTCGAAAGAGATACCAAACGGCTTCAACATCGCATGCGAACTGCTCCGCCGTTGGTACTTCAACGAGTGCTGAAGGGCGATCGATCTCAAACACAGCGAGAGATGTATGCCGTTGCAAAGGATGCGAGCGGCCTTACTACACCATCCTAACGACGACGGAGCGCTGGGGAGAGGTATTATTCTTACACTCAACACAAATAAATGAGAAGAGAGGAGGGAATACGGACCAAAGAAGGAAATTAAAATTAAAATCAAGGAGAGGAGAAGAATGAGAAAGAGAGTTTTTGCCAAGGGAATCACACCACAATTTTTTTTTTTTTTTTTTTTTTACCTTGCGTTATTAATATTATTAATATTAATATTATTATTATTATTATTGTTGCATTTTTTTTTTTTTGCCGAGGATATTGGAAAGGGGAGGAAAGGGGGTTGAGAAACGATTTAGGGTTAATATAATGAACACGGACGATGTTAAGGAGGTATGCGCTGGATCCATTGGCGGGGCGCTGGCCACCGTGGTGGAGTATCCCTTAGACACAATCAAGGTGAGGCTGCAGGATGATCCTAGTCGTTACCGTGGTAGCCTCAGTTGTATTACAGAGATTGCACGGCTTGAAGGGTTCATCAATGGCTTTTTTAAAGGTCTTCCTGCCCCTGTTATTGGTGCCGCAATAGAGAATGCCACCCTGTTTTGCACCTACCGCGTGGCTATTAACGGCATTCAAGATGTTTTTTATGAAAAACGATTTGAATCAGACACAGAGCCGTATTCTGTGGTTTTTTCTGCAGCGGCTATTGGTGGTCTTGTAGTATCGCACGCATTGACGCCTGCAGAACTTATCAAGTGTAAGATGCAGGTACAAAACACACTTCCTGGACACAAACGGGCATTAAAAAATTCTCTGCATTGCGCCATGTCCATATATAGGAGCTCAGGTGTACGTGGATTGTATAAAGGGCACGTTTCTATGCTTGCGCGAGAGACTACTGGCTGTGGAGTGTACTTTTTAACGTTTCAGTGGGTGATTCGCAACATGCTGCACGAGGGTCAAAGCTTTGCTGAGGCCTCGCCATTTGTTCATTTTCTTGGAGGCGGGTGCGCTGGTGTTGTTTTCTGGACATCGATCTATCCGATTGATGCACTGAAGACCAAAATTCAAACCGGCAAAGGAGGCTATGGTGAGCTTTCTTTTGTTAGGGGAATGATGCAGCTTTACATGCGAGAGGGAATGCGTGGGTGCATGCGAGGATACACCGTTACTGCGCTTCGTGCCTTCCCTGGAAATGCAGTTTTAATTGCCGTTTACGAGAAGGTGAACCTTTTGTGGGAAATGTCGCATCGCTCTCGTTGTACCTCTGTTTGTTCGGCATCGTGCGTTGGCAGCACATAACACCCTCATATTTGTGACATGGAGGGAATTTACTGATTTTTTTTTTTTCCTGCGTTAAAATTAAAGCCATACAATTATATCTACACATATCATTTTCCATTAATTTACTTGTATACATGCAGTTATTTGTTTTTACGGCCTTCACTGTGGGAAAGCAACGGAAGGAGCAGGAATAATACGAGCGGTGAAAGGATCCGAGAATGAAATGGGGGGGGAGGGAGAAGAAAATGAGTGGAGACAGTGAGAACCGTGAGCGTTATGTCATGTTGGTTTTGGCTCATGTGAGGAGGGTGCGGTGAACGAATTCCAGAGGAGGTGAAGGAACAAAAGAGGCAAAAACAAAAAGCTGATCTGTTTTTGAATAAAAAAGACGTTTAATGGATCAGCACACTTTTTTGTGCCGAATTCGTGGGGATCCTTCTTAACACCGACGGACCTTTTGAAATAAAACGCACACGCATCCATTCACGAAACGATGAACGCGGTATATATATATATATATAATGCATATACATATATGCCTCTCTTATATTTAAAATGTCTTCTGCACAACAAGGGCCTTGATGCTGGTTGCCATTGTCCTTTTTTTTTTTCTATCTCTCTCTCGCATCATTCCAAAGCCTTTTCTTATACGTTTATGTTTAATAGTTGTTTGTTTTTTCAAGATGGGAGTGCAAAAGAAGTTTGAATTATCAACAAAAGAACTTGGAGGTGGGGTGATTCTTTTCTCTTGGAACTCAAGTGGAACGCAGCTTGCAGTGTATAGTGCAAACGGAAAGCTGCAGATTCTATCTCCCGATGGCAAGAAGTTGAACACGTCCTCCTTTCCAGGTGTCGTCAGAATTGCGTGGGACTACTCATCGGACACCCTCGCACTTATTCAAAAAAATAACAGTAACGTTACTTTACAGTCGACCGGGAAGCAGAGTTCCGATAGCATTGACTCCGGGCTGCATGAGCTGTGTTTTCTTGCGTGGTCACGCCGTGGCTCCCATCTTGCTGTTGGCAGTACCAAGGGTACCTTTGTTGTGATCAACAGTGAAACCCTAAAGAAGTTGCCTGTTGTTGGAACACATACTAAGGCGATAGTTGATGGCAAATGGAGCGTGGATAACACACTGGTAATGGTCGGAGAGGACAATGTCCTCTCTATCTCAGAAGAGGATGGGGTGCTTCGGCGACAGGTGTCATTGAAATTAATGCCTTTGTCAGTTACTTTGGTGGATCTTTCGCAAAGGGGTGAAGAAAAATTCCCATTCAGTACAGCCGCACTGATAAATTTTGGCAAAACACTTGAGCATTTCAATTTAGAAACATTTAAGGCTCAACCTGTGCCGTTTGAGTCGAAATTGGGTACGGTCACTGTGTGCGACTTTATTTCGGGAGGCCTGGTGTGTGTGGGTTTTAGTTCTGGGGCTGTGGCATTGGTCAATGCTTCTGTCCAGGGGGTGAAGATGTGTGGTGTGGTCCGGTCTTTTCACGATACCGTAAATGCGCTGGCTTGCTGCCAAAATTTTAGCATGTGCGCTGCCGTTGGTGAAAACGCTCTTAAATTTTTCAGAATTGCTGATGGTAGCATTGTGGAGAATGCAATGGAAAGAGTCGAACTGGGAGGGACGTACGGCACCTTACGAGGGGTAGAATGGAGCAAGGATGGGTCCAATGTCACTCTGTCTACGGAGCAGGGGCAATTGATAAGTTACAAGTTGAATGTATCGGCTGTAAGCACCACAAAAGGCACCTTTATTTACTTTCTCTCATCCTCGCGCGTGGTAACGGCAAAAAGTTTGCAGGATGACCGTATAATATACAATGCGAACGTGGACATTGAACCAGCGATCATTGCCGCTGCTCGAGGGATTTTGGCCGTTTGTGCCGGACACAATGTTCTTTTTTACACAACGGAAGGAAACGAGGTTTCTCTTCTCCGTAGAGCTGATTTTCCTTCAGCTATTTCTGCGTTGAAGGTGTCATCTAGAATTGCAGCGGTAGTCTGTGATGGAAAAATTGAGCTTAACGAGATACGTTCCGGTGAAAACTCTACCACATTCCCGGAAAACGGAACTGCAAACATCATTTCTTTGGATATGACTGAGGTTCTTCTTGTTTATGCAACAACAGAGAAAATTTGTGTTGTCAACCTCATTGATTTTCAATGTGTTGTTGAACACACGCCCTCTATAGGTATTAAAAGAGCGGTCCCCAATACGAGTTGCACTCGGGTAGCACTCATCGGTAAGAATGATGCCCTGTACATTTTTAATCCTGTAACACTGACCTTGATCCAAACCGAGGGTTTTGAGGCGGAACACAAGAACATTTTGTGGGATCAAGGCGATTATGGCATTTTGGTCTCATACGACAGCAAAACCATGGTCACATTTGTCTATTCGCCGCACAGTCGGTATGGTCCAACATCGGAGTCGGTTGTCATCAAGGATACGAATACAGAAAATCTCGTCACACCCATCCCTGTGGGATACACACCCGTGGCTCTCTTTAAAGGAAAGGTGACTTTTCAAACATCAAGTGGATCCCTTGACTTTGCTCATCTCAAGTCACACAACCAGGCGATGACTCGTGTACCAAACCCCGAAGCTTTTTACACAAATTTCTCACTGAATCACTTGCGCTGGGCGTCACAAAACATAAGCACTTCACAAGAGGCGGAAGATTTGGCTGTGAAGGCACTTCATGTGCTTGACGTTGAACTTGCCATTCGTCTTTATCGCCAGCTTTCGCAACCAAGTCTTGTGTTGTGTCTTGAAAACATCAAACATATTAATGAGAAAAATCTTCTTATTGGCCATATTTCTATGATTATGGGGTTTTTTAAGGACGCACAGAGTTTTTTTTTGCGGTCATCACAGCCACTTTGTGCGCTTCAGATGCGCCATGATTTGATGCAGTGGGAGTCTGCACTTGCCCTTGCAAGACAAATGGCTCCCGAAAGGGTTTTTATCTTATCCAAGGAGTATGCACAGCAATTGGAGTATCGTGGAGAGTACGCTAAGGCGTTGGAGATGTATAGAGCAGGGGAACGAGCGATGCCAAAGGGCCATGCCAGTACTCAACTGACTGCCGCCCAGGAAGAAGTGAAGAGCCACAACGCTGTCTGTTCAAAAGGAGCCGCAAGGTGTTTGTTACGTACAGGAAGCATTCGAGAAGGGGTAAAACTGGCATTGGATTCGAATGATGAAGCGCTTATAATGGATTGCGCGGAGATATTAGAATCTACGCGACAGTTTGAGGATGCGGCGCATCTTTATGAAAAAGCATCTGAATTTGAGCATGCAGCCACGTTATATATCCTGGAGGCGAAAAATTTAAAGGCGGCAAGTCGTGTTATCCCAAAGATATCATCTCGCAATATTATTGGTATGTTTGCCAAAGCGAAGGAATCTGAAGGGGCCTTCAAGGAGGCGGAACTGGCGTACACTCAGGCGGAAGATTGGGATAATGTGGTTCGCATCAAAGTAGAAAAATTAAATGACTTGTATGGGGCATACGTCGTTGTACGCCAAACGCGATCGGCTGCTGCTGCAGCTATAGTCGCCAACATGTGCAAAAAGAGAGGTGAGTTTGGTTCAGCTGTGGAGTTCTTTGTTTTAGCCAAGAGCTTTCAAGAGGCATTTGAGTTGGCCAAAGAAAAGAACTGTATGTCTACTCTTGAAGGTGCATTGTTGAATCAGGCTCAGCTCCTAGATGGGATTGCACCCGCCTCTAACCAGGCTGAATTTGCGATGATTGCCCAGTACTATGAGCAAAATGGGAAGCCCGGTCAGGCAGGACTGTTTTACCACATTGCTGGAAATTTCCCGCTGGCGTTGAGGAATTATCTGGACGCGGGTGAGTCGGAAGACATTGAGAAGGCCATTCAAGTCGTTGGTAAGTCAAGGAGTGATGCGCTAACCAATAGACTTATAGATTATCTTATGGGGGAAACCGACGGCGAGCCGAAGGAACCCTCATACATTTTCAAGCTTTACATGGCATTGGGGAGCTACGAAAAGGCTGCGAAAACATCGGTCTTGATATCCACCAAAGAACAAGAGATGGGCAACTATCTCACTGCACATAAGACTCTCGTAGATGCATATCGTATACTTCGAGATAAAAAGATGCATGTTCCTAACGATCTACGACGTTCATTGATGCTCTTGCATTCCTACGTTATTGCTAAGCCTCTTATGAAGATTATGAAAGATGATGAAACAGCCTCTCGCATGCTTCTACGGGTGGTGAGAAATATTCATAAGTTTCCAAAACACATATCTGTCATCTATACCTCTACTGCATTGCAGTGCTTAAAAAGTGGATTTAGAAAGTCCGCCTTCGATAATGCGTGTATTATTATTCAAAATGGGAAATACGGAACCGAATTGGATGAAAAGACACGAAAAAAAATTGAAGGAATCGTACGGAGACGTGGGAAGGAGGAAATGGATGACCCACCTGAGAAAACCTCTCCTTGCCCCTTTTGTGATGCTCAAGTGCCGGAGACGGAACTGGATTGTGGTGCCTGTAAGAATACTTTGCCATTCTGCATCGTTACCGGCAAACACATGGTCAAGGAAAACTACTCTGAGTGCCCCATTTGCCAATTTCCCGCTCTGTATTCCTCGTTTGTGACGCTACTGAGGAGCTCTCAAACTTGTCCAATGTGCGAAAGTATCATTGATGTGAACAAGGTCCAAAAACAAAGTGACCCTGATTTAAAGGCTTATCTTGCGTAGAGGAGGACATACTTCTTGGTGTATTGCGGCGGAGCAACTCGGACCCAAAGGAACCGAAAGGAGAAGGAGAACAAGGAGAAAAGATACCGATCTGTGGGGGCGTATGTAAGATGTTCAAATTCAATTGGTCATATTTTAGAAGAAGGCGGATTTAAAGATAAAACTGGACACCGCCAGCAATAGAGGCATCGTTTACACATGAAACTGGTTTTTGTGTTTTGTTTTTTTCTCTTTTTGAGGGTTGTCTCTTCTGCCTCATTCAACCCTTTTGTTTGGCTGAATTTGGACAAAAGGATATATATATATATATATATAGAAATATTCTGTGAGAAAAATAGACACCAAAGCTATTTTTCAACCATGGCAAAGAAATGGCTGCCAATCGAGAGCAACCCCGATGTGTTGAATACCTACCTCAGGAACCTTGGTGTTCCCAACCCCAAGGTGGAGTTTTGCGATGTTTACGGCTTGGACCCCGATCTTCTTGTGTTTTTACCTCGGCCCGTTCGCGCCATGATACTTTTGTACCCAATTACACCTGAAATAGATGCAGCAGATGCTAAAACTGTGGAAATGCAGGCTGCTGAAATAAAGGCATTTATGGCGGAAAAAGACGTATTTTTCTCCAAACAAACAGTTGAGAACGCCTGTGGTACCATGGCTCTTCTTCATGCTGTGATGAATAACTTGGATTCTGTGGGTGATGTCAGAAAAGACAGCCCGATAGACTTCTTAAGGAGGGAGGGACTCCATGGGAATCCAGAGGAACGCGCATTACTTATTGAGTCCGATCCTAATCTAGATGCGGCGCACATGGGGGCGTCGGCAGAAGGGGTCACAAAGAATCAGCCGGTCAATGCAAATATCGACCTTCACTTTACTTGCTTTGTACATGCAAAGGATCAATGTGTGGAGCTGGACGGGCGTAAACAATCACCCTTGCTCCATGGTGCTTGCATGGATAATGAGCAGTTTGTGAGTGTTACCGCAGAGGCGATTCAAGCCAAGATTTCTCGGAATAAGGAGTCCTTTCGTTTCAATATCATTGCTCTTGTGGACAAATCCAGCTAAGGAATTTTTTATGTAACTATTTGTCAATATATATATATATATAATATATATATATATATTATTATTATTATTATTTTTTTATTATTATTATTATTTTCCTTTACTTCTTGTCATGCCCTTCTTACATCTCTTCTTAACACCACGCGAAGTGGTCTCCTGGCATTGGGGATGCACAGAAACGAATTGTTCTCTTGTATTTGCCGCCACCTGCTGCTTTGTATGGAGTTTTGAGGAATACCTTAGAAAGATAATGACATGAAGAAGGGGAATGAGGGAAGACTGGGGCGATGGCGAAAAAAAAGGAATATATGAAAATTGCCTATAAAAAAGAACACTCTCCACCATTCTTCATTGGGTATGGAGGCGGGACGCAGATCGAGTTTTTTGTCTTTACCTTGTAGGTGGCTTCGAGCTTGCTTTTGCTACGGGGAGCACAAGGGGATTTTCCCTTTGATGCCTGTTTGTTGAAATGTTTGTACCCATAGGCTGTTGTGGTCCTTTTTTCTTATTTTATCCTCCTTTTTTTGTTGACGTTCTTATCGTTTTATTTCTATTGTACTTTTTAGAAATTTGGGTTATTTGCACAGTGCCATGAGGCGCATTTACCGAGTAACGTGGATACGAGCATTTAGACACGTATCTCTACGCAAGTTTATGAACACATCGGGCGACCCTAATGTTTCCGATGTAAAGTTCTCTTTCACAGAGCGGATGTCCTCTAATTCTTCGTCTCCTTCTTCCATGGCCACCCCGGAAATAGAGGAATCGGGAGTAGTGCCGTTTCTTTCTTCATTATCATCGGACCTGGACACTTTGCAGAAACGGTGGATGCGATGTTTTCGTGTATGTATCACAAGTACACCACGAGTGGTCATTGAAGCAAAATCAATGGATAGTGACGTTTGGACACAAGTGGTCACTATGAAAACTACACAATTGCCGCGTGGGCTCATCAAGACGGTTGAGGATGTCTTGTCCCTTCCAACTGAGGCAGAAAATCGTCGTGTGACTGTTATAGATTTGCGTGACAGACCCGAGGACATTGCTGTGGCTCAGCAGATTTTAGCAAAGCGATTTCCGGGACTCCGGTTGCAAATTGATCATTCCAAAGGGACAGATCTTCAAGGCACCGTTACGCACACTGTCTCTGTTTCTCTGCGTGACCACGGTTTTGTCGATGGCTCGCCTTCCAAGGAGGAGAAGTCAGTCAAGGAGACCTTTTTTGGAGAGGCCATTGGCGCTAGCTTTGCGAGCACAGCACGGCGTGCTCTTCGTGAGGCATTTGAGGCGGCTGGTATTCCACCACCTCCAAGACACTTTGAGCGCGATCAAGGGGAAAGTGAGATGGAGATTTATCTGGAAACCATTCGGAACGCCACAAACGAAACGATCGAGATCATGACATCTCTTGTTGGAGATGACCATGTACAGGTGATAGTGCAATCCTCTAATGGACGCCGGCTTGGTCTCTTAAAGGGACGCAGGGATGATGCTCTATCTATTGTTCTTGCATGTGTGGAGAGGGCTGCGGAATGTACAAATCGCATAGCGACGGAAGAGGCTCGTAAACGTATTGCAGACCACCCTGTGGTATTGGCTCTTCCTCCTAAAGGCCTTCGTCCCAAGGAGATTTTGCACCGCTTGCTGTTTCATACCTTTGGATTGACAAACGAGCGAATTCGTGTTTTGACTTCACAAGGTGATGGCGGTACGTTCGTCACTACTGTTGATGCAGAGTTGCACTGGAGTGTTACAGTAAACACTGAACGCCCTGTTTTTTCCACCCTTTCTAGAGCCGTGGGAGTGAGTAAAAAGGCGGCAGAGGAGCTTGCATGTGTAAAGGCAATTCAGCGCTGCTTTCCTCGTGTTTTTGAAGACCAACTCTCTTTTCATGCCGATGTGAGGGAAATTATAAATTCCACAAAGGCGACGGATAAGGATTCTATTTGCCCGCATATATCAAAGGGGCTTTTGGCGCAGTTGCGTTGGGCCGCTCAATGTCATAAGAAGGAAGTGTTAATTGAAGCAGTACAGCTGCTTCCAAATTCTGAAAATGAATCGCTCGGGATACGTACGACAAGAGCTCTCTGGGCGACGCAGCTTTTTCTGGTGGATCAACAAGGCACACGTGATTTTATATGTCTTGCATTGGATCCAAAGAAATCTGCAAGTGAACAGAAGGCAATTGCGGCTGCAATATGGAAGATTTTTAGGGAAGAATGTAGCGAAGGTGTTACGTATGCGATAGACCGGGGACTTATTGATAAAGAAGGCAATGCTACCTCCTGTGAAGGTATTTCAACATCTGAACCGTTACCAAAGAATGACTATGAACTTGCAGCAGAGTCCGATCCATTCATTCAAAAATTACAAATTGTCCCCTCACAGAGTATTTCTGTCCCACATCGGCAATCGCTGCTAAGTGTGTTTCGTCGTGGAGTTCAACTATATATTGATCTCTTGAATGAACGGAGTGGAGGTGGCGGAGTTTATGGTACTTCTATCGGACAGTTAATTGAGTTCACAGATAGAAATTTAATGGATGGTTCATTTAAGGCACAAATACTTGTGCAGTTCTCGGGAGATGGCGTAGACATAACAAAGGAAACCCTAGGAGAGGCCTTTCATCCAAGTTCAGCCATCATTGCTCTCTTCTCCGCGTTTAAAGGTCTATTTGAGGAAGAAGGCATTATTGCGAAGGCTGCGAGGGAAGATAAACAGGTGGAGAGTATTTACAGAGATACTTGCCAACGTGCAGAAGAGATCCCCCCGTTGCCATTGGAAATTTCCACATCCAACCCGCTGGAAACTGTTGCCCAATGTATAATGTTGAAGTATGGTTTAGGGGTTGAATTGCGTATTTCTGGTGGAGGCAATGTGGTTCAGGTGCAATTTTTTGGTCAGAGCCCGGCTCACCTGGGTTCTGATCACCTTGTCACTTCATCGCAGTTTTTCTTAGGGCATGGCCGAGGGAACTCTCTTTTGAAGGCTGTTGTGTCGTGTTGCAAAAACGTTTTTTATGCGCATGTTTGCTCCAAGAGTGAGGCTCTTGGAGGAGCGAGGTTATCTGCCCTAAATTCCGGGACGGTACAAGTTCTTTTTCAGGGGAAGTCGATTCTTGCTTCGCGAGTAGAGGACGTAATGAAAGAAATTTTGGAAAACAAAGCGGTCTCGTCGGCAGCTTCCATTCATGTTAAGGTAAGTATTCACTCCGTAGCTGAGGGAACGATGTATCAAGCACACTTGTGTGTCGTGGATGGAGCACGGGTGGTTGAGCTGGAGCGAACTTCGTTGGTGGCGGATCTCCTGCTTTCACTACGGCAGTTAACAGAAAACATCATCCGGGAGATGGGTGGTCCTACTGTCGATATTGACGCGATACAACGACAATGCACAGGACCATTGCGGTATGGCACCTTGCAACAACTGCTAGAAGTTTTTTATGGATTCCCGCTTCTGGTGGAAACATCACTGAAGGATCATCGATGGCACTGCCGCTTAAGCGTACATTTATTTGAGGAGTTCTATTACGCACTTGCTTACTCTGTCAATTTGAAGAAAAAGGAGGCAGTGGAGAATGCGGCGAAGAAAGCACTGGAACATTGCTTTGGGGCGGCTTCACGGGTCGCAGGATCACAGGAGACTTCAACAGCAAAGAAATCAACCCCAACCGTAGAAAAAATAGGATGCGCAGAGGAAGATTTTGGATTTGTGTACAAGAAGCCAGATAACAGATGCACTCCCTGGAATTAGGAATGGTTACATTTTTTCCGCGTCGCTTCCGTGTAAGATCTGCATGGGGATAAAATTTAAACTCTTCCTATCGTTAGCCTTTTTTTTTTTTTTGCTGCTTTTTTCATTGCTATTTTTTTTTTTTTGTCTTTTATGCTGTTTGCTCCTGCTGATCAACGGATTTTGGTAGTCTTTTTTTTTTTTTTTTATTTTTGTCTGTCTGTATGCATGCTACTTATATAGTTTCTTTTTCTTTATCTTCCCTGTTTCGTTCATAAACGGAAGAGATTTTATTTTAAGTATATTGGCAATGCTACGGGCTTCGGCGAGCTCGATCAAGCTGACGAACCTGTACGGGGCGCCAACAGGGGATACATACCACCCGAGCACACCGTTTGCCAATTTAATTGAGATTGATGGCGTGCGGATTCTTCTGGACTGCGGGTGGAACGATGAGTTTGATGTCAATTTTCTTGATGCACTGATGCCTTACTTGGGTGATGTGCACGCTGTGCTCTTTTCGACTCCTGAACTCGTCTCATGTGGAGCACTCCCATTTGTGATGGAGCACATTCCTACAGGCACGTGCGTAGCTGCTGCGGGTTCCACGGCCAAGATGGGTCTGCACGGGGTCCTGCATCCATTTCTTTACCTGTTTCCTAACGTCAAAACTTGGCGGCTGGAAAACGGTCTTGATTTTGAAATGACAGTTGACAAGGTATACAGTGCCTTTCGAAGTGTGACGGAGCCTTATGGGGGCAAGGTAACAATTCGTCATCGAGATGCTGAAGTGGAGTGCTATCCCATTTTTTCTGGTCGAATGCTTGGAGGACATGGGTGGCTTATTAAGTATAAAATTGATGAGCTTTTTTATTGCCCTGATTTTTCTTTGAAGCCATCCTATGCGCTTAAACGCTTTTTACCACCAACAACGTCAACACTTCTTTTTATTGACGGATCGCCATTTCATTTAAGCGGTAATACTGGGCGGAAATACGAAGAACAGTTGAATGCTTTAATTCGAGAGATTTTGGGTACACTTCGTAATGGGAAGGACGTTTTGATCCCAGTTTCTGTTGTTGGAAGGGGACTGGAGATACTCACAATTGTCACACACCTCCTTACGGAGAAGGGGGGTGATAATTATACGGTTGTTTTTGCCTCTATACAAGCGGCAGAGCTAGTAGCGAAGGCGAGCACTATGACAGAAGCTCTTTTGGATGAGATCATTCTCAGTGAAAGACAGTTATTTGCCAATGTGGTGACTTGTAAAACAGCCGAGGAAGTGTTGAGTGTAGCCGGACCAAAAATATGCATCGCCGATGGTGAGACCCTTGATTATGGAGTGTCAGCTGAGCTTTTAGGGCATTTTTTGCAAGCGGATGCAGATGAGAGGGAGAACCTAGTTGTACTAACAGGGGCACCTAAACCACATACAAATGCCTTTACGATGGCTGCGGCCAAGAAGGGGGATGCTATTGATTTGCGTTACACAATTCGATCACCGCTTGGAAAAGAGGAATTAGAAGAGTATTATCTCCAAATTGAGTTGGAAATGGAGGAACAGAGGAAGGCGTTAGAAGGCGGCGCTTATGAGGTGGCCTCACTTGAGGATGAGAATAGCGATAATGACAACGATGCAGGCAAGGAGGACGAAAAGCAATTGAGGGTGACACAACAGTGTACGCCTGGCCTTGTTCTCCCCTCTTATATGAGTTTTGTTTCTAAACATCTTCAATTTCCCATTTTGGAGACGGCAGCATCATTAGCTAATGCGATGTTTAAAAAAGTGGATTATGCATATGGTCTTCCCATTAGTGAAGAAATGCAGTTCCTTATGCGTCGAAAGGCTCCAGCTCGAATTTACAGTGATGAGGGACCCGAAGGGATACAAATGCATAATGATGCTCAGGCTGAGGCGAATATTCCCTCCAAGACATTTGTGAACACTGCTGTGGTAAGTAAAAATTCACGTGTTTTTATGACGGACCTTTCAGGATTTGCAGATGCGGCTATTATGCGGAGCCTGTTAAAGTCCCGTTTTAGTTTTGCTAAAAAGATTGTACTGATCCGTGGGACTGTCGATGATCACCGTGCGTTGTATCAGTTTTGTCGATCGGAAAAAGTAATGAAGTGCGGCGAGAATGTTTTTTTTCCGAGGACGCAGAGAACTCACTTGGAACTTGCGACGCACGTGTACTCTTATATGGTGCAATTGGACCCAACATTGGCTAATGCACTTCCTTCCGCTTTACGGCGCGTCAAGGAGTCAAGATCAAGTGGCTTTTGGGATGTGGGGTGGGTGGATGGTGCCCTGGAGAGTTCTTTTGTTTCGCTGACACCTGAAGACGACGAGAGGCAGTCGGTGAAGCGACTTCGAGCGGAAGGAAATGATGGCGAAATAAAGGACGGCGTCTTCACCCTGGTCCCTCTCTTTGGTGAGAGGGCACAACAGTGTGCTCGGGAGCGAGAATTGCGGGGCATGCAGCGAGGTTTATTTTACGTTGGTGATGTGGATTTACACAGACTTCGCGATGTGGCTCGAAGTGAAATGGGTCTGCGCGGTGAGTTCCACAAGAATGCACCTATGCTTGTCTTTGATGCGGGTTTATGTGTTCGCAAAAGCGCCAATGGGAATTTTTCCTTGTCTTCGATGATTTCGCCATCTGTTTTTGCACTTAGAAAGACCGTCTACGGTCAATTTTCCCAGACACTCTAAAAATACAGCGTATATATTGCATGTATATATATATACATTCACTTGTGTGTCTGCATTGAAGGCAATAATATTAATTGGTCAACGGCCGAACAGAAACACATTTGACTTTTGATCTGAACCTTGTGGGACCGCTTTCTTTTTTTTTTTTTTTTGTGCGTATGAGATCTTAAGCAATAAAGATGGTAGTGTTTAATTGCTGTCCACTCTATGCGATGTTTATTTATGAGGCAGCACATTACACTTTATTTTTCGTTTTGCTTTTTTGTATCTACGCATCTTTTTTTTTTTTTTTTTCTGTAACCTTTGGATGCTTTTCCCGTCACCACTTCGCAGGACGTAGTCAAGAAAAATTCTAGAAAAACAAACTAACGAGGGGCAACCCCATCTGTCACCAATGTCAGATACTGATGTTCTTCTGCTTAATCTAGAAGTTGAGGCTGCCGCGGCACGCAACGCTGACCTCTCTAGGCGACTTGAAATGATAACAGAAGAACTGGGGTGCTCTTCTGTACATATGACGGGCAAGCCTGAACTTGTTTCGCAGGGGACACAGACGGGGTTTGATATTTTGCGTGAAGTTGCGCTGAATTTGGATGATCTCCTGTTTGAAATTGCGGAAATAATGTTTCGTCTCTACCCCTCAACTCCTATCGATTTGTCAATACGTAGGGGTGACGGATCGAGGAATCTCGAAGAACTCTCGCATCGTTGTTTGGGTGAGATGCGTTCACTTCGAGTTGCATGGGAAACAAAACTGGAAGGCTATAACACTTTCATAGAGGAGCTTCAACGAGCCATTGGTTCATACTACAGATCTATGGAGGAAATGGAATCCCAAATGCAAGAAAAGGAATTGGAATTTGTTGCTCTCCAAAAACACAATGTCGAACTGTCGCGTCAATGTGCTGATATGGAAGCACAGCTGAAGGCCGCTCGTGAAAAAAATGAAAGCTTTAGAGAAAATATAGCGTCTCAGATGCGGCGGACGAGAGATCTTGAGGAAGAAAGAGATCAACTTCTCAAAAGGGAAACGGTTCTTGCAAATACGGTGGCTTCATTGAGGGCCGAGTGTGTCTTGGGGCCGTGGAAGAACACGGTAACTAAGAGGGATACTTTAGTTGAAAATTCGGGTGACTCTTTCAATTTATTGCCGGTACGAGAGAGCGCAAACCCCGTTGTAGGCGCCTGTGCTGGGATTGGAGTTGCGGATCCTGCGCTTAATGCGATGTGGGCTTGTCAGGGTTCTGCTGTTAATAGAGCTTTTCCTGAGTGGTGTGTTTCCGCGGAAAAAGTTGTCGATTTTTCTTGCAAAATGAGGAATTTACGCTGAATGCGAAAGTTTTTTGAATATAACCGAAAAAAATTAAATTATAATTTTTCAATGTTGCGACGTTTATGAAATTGAAGTTGTGTATTATGAAATGCATTGGTTGTTTGTGTTTTTTTTTCTGTCTTTTTTTTTTTTTTTTTTTTTTTATGTTCCTGTTGCCGTTGGAAATTTCGTCTTAAGTGTTTTCAGCGCTTTTTTTTTCTTTTTTTGTTCTCTTTTGATAAGAATAGTAGTGCAGTCTTTTTTCTTAATATTATTTTTTTCAGCCATCTAAATGGAGATACATGAAGGGCGTTTGGACGGATGGATTGATCTTGTGAATGCTGGTGATGCTACGTCGTTGATTGCTGTATTTCGGGAGGTTCTCAGCTCTACACCGCTCGATCCCTCCGCCTTGGGGACTATATCTACTTTTTTGGAGGCACATCTTTTTCCGTCTGCGTTGGAAGTCGATTTGCCGCAGCTTTTCTCCCCAATGCCCACGGAATACATGGAGGCTGCTTTGAGCGAGGCACGCGCTCATGCACTTGATCCTCGTGAGATTCTCAGTGAGTTGCTAGCGATTGGAGAGGCCCTTGCTGGATATGCTCTTGTTGTTTACTTACGACTCATTCGAGCATCATTTCGTCAGGTTTTCTTTGACACGCTTGGGCGCAAAAAGGGATTGTGTGCCAGTGTTGAGGAACAGTTTTCAAAGACGCATGAGATTATGCTTGCGTGGTATCCAGGAATGGATAGACTTTTCTCGCGCATCATTTCAACAATTTGTCAGCGAGATGCAGCACCAAAAATGGTGCGAACCGTAAATAATTTTGGGCATGGTGACGTTGACAGTGATGACGTCGACGAAAAAGAAGTTGATGACCTGGGAAATATGCCGTTGTTGGTGGAGCCGGAGGCATTGCAGGTCTTGGTGTTATTGTCATTGGATCTTCTCTTGATGGTAGGAGAACCCCACAAAATAATGCCGCTTCTACTGATGGTGAGGACGAGTATAGTGGCAGCCCAACCGTACAACGAAAGCGGCGAATTTTTGCATAGAACGGGAAAGGACCTGAGGGAATGGGCTAACTTTTTCTGCAGTGTGGGGGACAAAAGGACAGAATTGAAAGAGGAGCCTTATTCCACGCAAAATTCGCCAATTGTGGCAACAATAAAGGAGTCTGAAAGAATGAGGGAAAAAATTGCGCGAGCCGTGCTGGAGATTTCGCCCCCTTGTGAACTTTTTTCGCACCTTCAAAAGTGCTGGAGCAATGAATCCACAAAGGATTTAATGGATAGTGTCACATACGAGGACAATGAACATGGAATAGATGCAAGCGACGCAAGGGCTTTCGCCACTCTACATGCCTTAAAAAAAGAAAAGGATTCCCTACACATTCTTTCCGATGACGATTACGAAAGAGAGGAATGTAATGATGAAGCCTTTTCAGCGTCTCTTTCTTTGCAGAAAATTGGTGCCATGTTGATCCTATGTGATTTTATGACACTTGAGGGGTTTTCTGATCAACAGTTGTTTTTATCGAAATCTCCAGAATCGTTCTTCTTCCTAACGGGAACAATGGTTTTAGAGTGTCTAAAGAGTTCATCACTCAATGTAGTGATGACTGGCCTTGCCTTCCTATCCACCCTTGTTCCTCAAGTGCCTCCGTATAGTGTTTGTGCCAACGGTGAACTTAATACCAAGTCTGGAGAGATACATGAGTTTGGACAAAAACAGTCGGCGGGAAGCACATGGGGGTTTCATACAAAAAGATTTGAGCTCATCTTCGAAGTGGTGAAATCATTGATGAATATTTCTGCAACTTCTCCCTGTGAGTGCCATCGTGAGGTTTCTCGTGGAATATTTGTTCTTTTGCTTCGACGATTTGCCTCTAACTTACGTATGCTTGTTTACTCATTGTTTCTTGCTCTGACACCCTTTGCCTCCATTTGCTCGCTGATGTTGCACTCCCTTCGGGAAGAGTGGAATGGCAGTCAATTCTCTCCCAACAATTCAGAATTTGATTTTCTTCAGAATACCCTTCCTACACTTCTGTTAAAGGCGCAGAAAAACTGGCTGAGTAAAATGCGTGTTGGTGAGTTGACATTTGTGGAGCCGATGATCCAGTCAATTAATTTTGTCCGTTGTGTGATCATCGAGGATCGAAAACGGAGGCCGGAGGACGCGTTGTTTCGATTTGATCCCAACTGTGCCAAGGTCCAGCTTCGTGAGGAGGATTCCGGGGGTGGCAAAGGTGATCGATGGAATATTTACCTCTGTCAGCTGCTGAAGGATGTTATACCGCCATTGCGGATCATGGTTTTGGAATCCCCTGAGACCTCTGCAACCGCAATGGGTTTGTCAGGTGGCGTGACGCTCTCACCACTTGACCGCTTTGCACTTTCCATGTGTATGGATGGCTTGGGGGAACAGGTTTCTCTCGCGGCTTAATATTACTGCGACTTTGTTTATTTCTCTTGGTTGACATATATGTATAAATGGGTTTTGTGTGCTCCCTCTACGAAGGTTAAATTCTAATAAGTTGACATCGACGTTTTGTGTTTTTCTTTTTTTCTTTTGGGTTAAAATAAAAGTTCTATCGATGATCCGCTCGCATCTTATTGTTGTCGATGAGTTTGCATCCGCCGCCGAATCTCTCCGCGTCACACCTGTGCAGGAGAGGAGGTCAAGTGCCTACTTGACAAAGTATGAGATGGTGCGCGTGCTTGGGGAAAGAGCACGCCAGACTGTGAATGGCAGCTCTGTTTTTTTGAGTAGCCGAAGCCGTGTAAATGAACGAAGCGCGTTGGAATTGGCAGAGCGGTGTTCTGACCCTTATTCATCTTCGGTGGACCCTATTTTTATTGCGAAGATGGATTTGCTGCAGGGGAGGATATCAATGATTGTTCAACGGACTTGGCCTAATGGAAAAATAGAAAACATTCCCGTGTCAGAATTGCTAATTGATAAGACCATGCTTAATATGCAAGCGTAATTAACAGACGTTTTATTATTATTATAGCTATATATATATATATTCCACCATTTGCTGTTGGTCATCGGCAGAAGCACAAATGTATTTTTTCTCCCTGTTCTTGTGGCTCTTTCTTTTTAATTCGCCATTTTTGGAGCTTTTAATCCATCAATGGCAATATAAATAAAGCATATATGAAAGCTTTTCTTTTTCCTTTTCTGTTTTTTTTTTTTTTGCTTGCATGTGTATGTTTGATCAAGCACGCAAGAGGGACATTGAGAAAAGTGATGCGGCGATTTTTACGAGGAGTGACCTGGGCTCAGTGTCGAGTGACTCACCTTTGTTCGCTGCGGCGCATTAAATTTAGAGAGGACCTGCGCAACATTGCGGTCATTGCTCATGTCGACCATGGCAAAACCACACTGGTGGACACCATGCTAAGGCAATCGGGCACTTTGGTGGAGGCTCGAAATCGTGTGATGGACAGCAAAGATCAAGAGAAGGAGCGGGGCATTACGATTCTTGCGAAGAATACTGCCATTTTTTTACCCAAAAGGACTGCAAGTCAATCAGAACGTCGCATTAATATTGTGGATACACCTGGTCACTTGGATTTTTCAGGTGAGGTTGAACGAGCGCTTCAGATGGTGGAGGGCATCGTTTTATTGGTCGACGCCAAGGAGGGAGTTCGCCCTGGAACGCGATATGTTCTTCGTAAAGCTCTTAGCCTTAACCTCAAGCCGATTGTTTGTCTGAATAAAATTGATAGGGATGACACAAACATTAAAAAAACGGAGGATGCTATGCAGGATCTTTTTCTGGAGACTGCAGAAAATGAGGAACAACTTGAAATTCATTTCATGTTTGGATCGGGTCGTGATGGATACATGAATGATACGCCAAAGAAAGGGGGAACTCTTGATCCTCTTTTTGAAAAAATATTTAGCACTGTGCCAGCACCACACTGCAAGGGGGACGATGCGCTGCAGATGCTTGTGGCCCAAGTTGAACTGGATGAATCCACAGGGCATAAAATTGCTATTGGTCGTATTTTCAGTGGTAAAGTCTCAGTTGGTGATATCGTTACGGTAGCTTTGGAAGAAAAGGAGGTGGATGCCCTTGTTAAAAATATTCAGCTTTTTGTTGGGGTGGAGAGGTCTAATGTTCAAAGTGCGTCTTACGGTGATATTTGTATTCTCACCCTTCAAGAACCTATTGGCCAGAAGGTGCCCGTCAAGATTGGGTGTACCGTGTGTCAGCAAGGCGTTGTGGACCGATTTCCGTATCGCAAGCCAGACGAGCCCACCTACAGTCTTGTGATGCAAGCCAGTGAAGCACCTTGGCGGAAAAAGGAGGCAGACGAGCGTTTGGGCACCATTTTGGCCTTGCAAAAACGTTTGGAGCGTGAGGCAATGGTGAACACTGCGCTACAACTTTCAGGGTTGGGTACTCCACACATTACATTAATGGGTCGTGGTCCACTTCATCTTTCTGTCATTGTGGAGGACATGCGGCGCGAAGGGTATGAATTTGAGATTCAAGCACCCCGTATCTTAACAAGAGTCATCGATGGAGTAAGCTGTGAACCATATGAACGAATTCATTTGGAATTTTTCGAAGGCCTTGTGTCGGATATGGTATCTTTTTTAAGCAGTAAGATGGGGGAGATTGGTGAAATTAGACAATTTTCGAATGGGCGTGTTTTAATGGATTGTGTCATGCCCGTTCGCTTTATGTCACAAGTTCCACTGCGCTTCCATACGCTAACGGGGGGAGATGGTGTGCTTAACCACAGCTTTGAGGCGTACAGGCCCATGACTTCAGTGCAAGTTACACGCGAGACGGGCGCGCTGATTTCTGTCGAAAACGGTGAGGCGACAGAGTGGTCGCTTTCAGGACAGGCGCAACAAGGCCGCTTTTTTGTCTTGCCGGGTGATGCCGTTCATTATGGGCAAATTGTAGGGGAGAACAGCAAGACGCTCTATCAAAATCTTGGCATAAATGTTTGTAAGCGCAACGAGCAACTGGGTGGGCTGCGTTCAAATGCCAACGATAAGGCAATTAGAAGAAGGGCTTCCTTCACCGCATTCCGTGCTACATTTGAGGATTGTGTTGCATGGGTGACGGACGAAGAATTGGTCACGGTGACACCAAAATCAATTCGCATGCGGCAGCCAAAGTTCAACGGCAAAACGACGATGCGGAACGCAGCGCAAAAGAGGTAGAGGGTACTTTTGGATTCACATTTATTTTTATTTTTATTATATCTTGTTTGTCGATAGTTTATATACATATATAAACGAATTTCGTAAGTGTGGCGTCTCATGCATTTGAAGACGACCACATGGTGTATTTTGCCAGACTAGCAGTAAAACCAATAGCCAAGACGAAAAAAACAAAACAAAAAAAACCTCTCCGGGAAATGAGCAATAGAAGAAACATGCATTTGGGGTTCAAAGTTCTATGTAGTTTTTTATTATTTTGCCACAGAATGAGAGATAACTGCAATTTTTATTTTTATTTATTTATTATTTATTTATTTAGAAACGCTTGGTGCGGATGGCGCACTTCGTTTTTTTTTTTTTTTTTGGGGATGAATTGGCGCCTGAGGGGAAATCCTTTTATCCTCTGGTTGTATTTCTGTTTTTCATTCCCATTGCCTTCAAGACATCTGTTGTTTCCTCAACCACCCCGGATTTTATGTTATTCCCTCATTTTTTTTTTGGGTGTAAAAAGCTCCACACAAAGTCGTTATCATGTTTGTTCGCACAATTCCGTCCCATTTTACAACAACATCCCCTTTGTGGATGAAGGTCATGGTTGGGGTAAAGCGTGTGGTGGATTACACTGTCAAGGTGCGTGTAAAGGATAACAAGGTCCAATGTGACGGACTCAAGATGAGCGTGAACCCCTTTGATGAGATTGCCATTGAAGAAGCCATTCAAATGAGAGAAAAGAAGCTCGCGGATGAGGTAATTGCTGTAACTATAGGAAGTAAAAAAGCGGAAGAGGTTCTTCGGACGGCAATGGCTCTTGGTTGTGATAAGGCCATTCATATTGTCACGCCCGATGGCGAGGCTGAGGGACTGGAGCCGCTTGTTGTGGCCAAGATATTCCAGAAACTCCACGAGGAAATTAAACCAGACATGTGGATTCTTGGGAAACAAGCGGTTGATGATGATCTCGGAAACACACCACAGATATTGGCGGGACTTCTGGACATACCGCAGGGAACTTTTGCCTCCAAGGTAGAGGTCAGTGATGGAAAGGTGAAAGTGACGCGCGAGATTGATGCTGGCCACCAGGTTGTTGAGCTCCAATTACCATGTGTTATTGCTGCTGATCTCCGTCTCAACACACCGCGCTTTCCGAAACTTCCTAACATTATGAAGGCTAGAAAAAAGCCTATTGACTCACGTGATATCTCTTCTTTAGGTGTGGACACAAAGCCACGGTTGGTGAGGGAGGCGGTGATGGAACCACCACTGCGTAAGGCTGGCATCAAAGTCAAATCTGTGGAGGACCTATACGATAAGCTGCACAATGAGGCCAAGGTAATTTAGGATTAATTTGGAGATGACGTAGGCAAAGTTATTTGGATTGGGTTTTGTGCATAAAATGTAACGCGGCAACCTAATAACAACAAAAAAGGTATCTTTTTGTCTCCAACCACACAATTCAACCCCTTAAAAAAAAAAAAAAAGATGAATGTATATTGCAGTTGTTTATGTATGCCAAGCTATGGGTCTGTGGGCATGGGGCAAGAAAGCGGGTTGGGGATTGGGTGCTGTTTTAAGGCGGGTGATTGGACAAAAAAGTGACGAGTGAGTTTTGGTAGCGGGTGGGCGGTGGTAAAAATGAATTTCAAACGCTTTTTACACTGTCATTGTGGGAGAATTGTGCGCCGAAATTGCTGCAAAAAGAAGAGGAAAACGCAAATGCACATCCATGCTCTTACGTTTTCTTTTTTTCGTACTGTTCTGTGTATTTTTATTTGTCTGTTTCTTTGGCGGGTGGCGGGTAGCTGCTAAAGTCATTTGTTTTTGCTGTAAGGGTTTTCCCTCTTTTTTTTTCTTTTTGTAGAACTGTAAATGAGATGGTCTCTGGCGTTACGCAAGGTCACAAGGGTGCCTACGCGCAGCGTAGTTTTGGCTGATGCGCTTCGTTATCACCCACGGTATTCCGTTCCTCGAAAGATGGTGCTAAGCAACTCCTTCAACACCGTCGATGAGAAAAACCGATTTCTTTCTTTGCGACTCATTTTGGAAAAGCTAAGTGGAAACGTCGGAAGGAGGCAATACCGTATGATGTGTGACATTACTCGACACTTTGAAAGACTGAAGGAGGAGGGGATTGACTGGCACGAACTGAAGTGGTTAAATCGCACTGAACTCATGGATCTTTTTGATAATATTCTTTCTCTCTCGCGCACGGAACGAGCTGTTCTTCTTCCTGCCATTGAGGCGAAGATTTGTGGGGTACTTCGTCGTTCCGATACGAGACACTCCACATCGATATGTGTCAACCAAGGCGTGGCGGAGCATGGATGGCGTTGCGGACTCTATGGCCATACAAATGATGTTTACTTTGAGGGAAAGGCGAAGGCAAATCCTACTGTGCTGCAAATATATCATCGTTCTTCCGTTCGTAGTGTTGAGCGGTCTGGTGTACGTGTTGAGGTGAGGACAGCACCTGATTTCTCAGTTGTGGGTCGTTTTAGTCATCCGCTTAGTCCACGTGTCTGGAGCACACCAGAGAACCCGGTTTTTCAAGTATCCACGATTGGATACGAGTTCCGCGTTCATCCAGAGGATCCGCGAGTGGTTCCACAGATTGAGGCAGCAGCGCGAGAGTGGGAGCTTCATGCGGCAGTTACACAACAGGTGGTGTGGGAAATGTTGGAAATGTATGCCGTGGAGCGTAATCCACAGCCACTAGAACTAAAGTCAGGTGAGATGGGTGCTCCGGATTGCCCAAGTTTGTATTCTAGTGCATTCACTGTGCGACATGATTCCATTGCTGGAAGTTCTGATGAACAGGGTGCGGTAACGGAGCAACGCATGATTTCAACGGATGGCCATGAGGTACCGTGGTTCAAGGAACCATTGACACAAAAGTTTGAGGGTGGTATTCCCGTTATTTTGCCTTTTGCCCCCTCTATTGTCGTGAAGAGCTCCTTTCGTCAAGTCACACGTACTTTTCCTGTAGATGTGGAGCGTCAATTGCTGCAGCCAGTTGTTGACGTTACTTGTTTTGTGCACCCTCAAGCCTGTTTTTGGTGGAGTGAGGAAGATGAAGAGCGATGCCTCAATCACATTGTTGAATACGCCAAACGTATACCCTATGCTCTTCCCTTCAACTTGTATCTTCGTGTAGACACCACGAAGGATTTTCGAGATGCCCCAAGCAGGGTGGAGGAAATGGAAAAACGTCTTGCCGAGAAGTCCCATTACTTTAATCTTCGACGCTTTCGTGAATCTACTGCAGCAAATTCCGAGAAGTAACGTGATGTGTTTGTGTCTGTCTGTATGCCTGTCTTTTTCACCGTGTGCCGGCGTGATTTTTCTTTTTTTGCCTTGTCTCACTGTTTTTCGAGAATCAACCTCCGAGGTGGGACACGGGATCACACGCCATGGGTTTTCTCCATAGAGAGGGTGTGGTGGAAGAGAAGGTGATGAGATTTGCTTACTGTTTTCCGGAACAGTAAGGCATAGGTGCGGCGCAGTCACCTTTTTTTCTTTATGACTCCTGATAACTCTGTTAATGTGTTTATTATTGTAGTTATTATTATATGTGTTTTTGCTTCTCTAGAATCTTTTTGGCACAAAGAGCACAATAAAAGGAAGGAAGGAAAAACAAAGAGTAAAAACATATATACGAATAAAAGGCAACAGCAAGGAAAAAAAAAAAAATAATAATGCCTCTGAGCCCAGCAAGAACGATACGTGTCAAGGCACAGAAGCAAAATGAACAAATTCGTTCCCCCCGTCTTTCAAGTGAGGATAAAAAACGCATTCGTGAGGCGAAAGAAAACAAGTCATCCGTTTCATTGTGGCTTGCGGTCTTCATGATGTTTGTTGTTTTTGGATCAACAATTGTGCACATATACCTTAATATTGTGTCATCGCCAAGGCGTGGGTGAAATAAGTTACGCTATGAATTTTTTTTTTTTGCTTTTTGATGTATGGGATTTAAAAAAACAATTGCAGCTGATATTTTTACTTGTGCGTGTGTGTTTTTGTACGATTTTGATACCTTTTATTCTTACTGATTGTAGAAAAGTCGTATCTTTATTAATTTTCTTTTTTTTTTTAGTTGTGAGACACTGACTGCGTCTTTAGTTGCCAATATATACATATATATATATATATATATATATATATATGTAGTCTTTTTTAATGGTCTGTATGTAAATGTAATAACGCACTTTCCTTTGTATCGCTTTTTTTTCTTCTATTTTATTTCTTTTGATACTCTTTTGCAATACAAGCGATTCACAAAGCATGCTGGCTCAGTGTCGACTGTTGTGCTCACAATTTCTTAAGCGGACATTTGTGGGTGGCATGGGGTATAACGTGAAGCGACCTTATCGGATTGATATTCGAATGGAACATGATAAGAAGCGAAGAATGAAGCGCCGGAACATTGGATGCAGGCGAATGATGAAATCCTGAAGGCCCAATTGTCCACGGGGCTTTAGATACTATATATATATATATATATATATATATATATATATATATATATATATATATATATATATATATATTAAAACTGTTTATTACCGTTCCTTTTTTTGATTCCTTCTTTTACGTGTGTGTGTGTGTTTGTGTTTTCCAGTTTGATGGTATTAGTCCTTTTTGTTTGTTTGTAGCGTGCTTCCAGTTTTCCTCTTAGAGTTTTTTTTTTTTTAGATTTACTTTGGGGAGGAAGATTGCGCATAACATATTTATTTATTTGTTGGTTTTGTGGGTGAGTGGCGTTTGTTTTCTCCACCTCCTTGAAATTGCCCTCGGACACTTCTTTTGCGGTACCAATGAAAATGCGTTCTTCTCTTTACAATGAAAAACCCAATGAACGCGGCGACGGCAACGATGATCAGGCTCAATTTGAGGAGGAAATCATGCACGAAAATGAGGCAATCCTGGGAGCTTTGGGGAAAACCGTGAAGCGAATGAAGGCATCAGCAGGCGTTCTTTTAGAAGAGGCTGAGGAACACAATAAATTGTTGGAAACTGTAAGCAGTGCGTTTTCTAGGGCAAGCAGCGGTGTGAATCGAACGGTACAGCGAATTGAGGGGGTAGCAGGACAGTATGGATGGCGATATACAATCCTTGTTGGTTTCATGGTGGGATTCACCGTTTACTCCCTGTATCGTGTTCTGTGGTGACCTATGGGAGAAAAACACGGCGACAACAGAGGAGTATTGTTTCGCCGTTTCCCCCCCCCCCCCCAAAAAAAAAAAAAAAAAAAAAAACAAAAAAAGAAAAACAGTGCAAGATAAAGCGAAAAGGAAACTTTCATTTTTTCATCACTTTTTGACGCTTGCATCTCACATTCATGCCCATGTTTGATTGAATGCTGGTTTTGCGCAATTTTTTTTTTTTTGTCCTTTCACTGCTTTTCAAATTTTGGCCTCAAATACAGTGCGATAGATGTTGTAACAGTCTTTTTTCTCAATGTCGTTGCGGTTATTTCTTTAACTGCGACTGGAGCGTATCTTTCCGCGTGCTGTTTCCTGGAAAACAACGTAAATACGTATTCTGTGACTTTTAGAGCTTTTGGGATCATCGATGGAGAATTAAACATAATACTAAAATGGGGTGCGGGTTGGCCAAAAAACTAGAAACATTCTTTTTGCTTGTAGAAGGGCGAAAGAAGTGTCCTTACATGGTGAGTGAGTGCGATGGAAAGTATCGAGGCTATCGTTGACTATCTTTTACCAGTTTTAGCGAAGGAAGTGCTGAAAATTTCAGACTCAATCATTTGCAGGTGCTAACACAATGACTTCGAGCGATATTATATATAAAGGCTACTAGACTTAATTCTGCCACGGACAGTAACACCATGCAGCTGACCCACACAGGGCTGACTATTATTTCCATTATTATCATACAAGCCGATATTTGCATCTGAAATTGTTGTGAAGGGAACTGGGACGCGTGTTTCACGATTTCCTTTGTTTCTTTGTGTGCTTATTTTTTTCTTTAATGATTTGATTTTAAGCAATATTAATAGTAAGAATAAGGGATGTTCAGGAAGATTTATACACCACTAACGCGGGGATTGACGACCACGGTGTGCGCTGCCTCATTGTCACTTTTTTCCTGCACTAGGTGGGAGACAAGCGGACGTCATACACCGCCCAACGCTGGAGATGAGGATGAGGAGGATTTCAGCATGATATTTAACGACGACTTTCATTTTTTGGATGAGTGCTTTGGTGAAACCGGTCTCGACGTTTTTGACTATATTCCGGAGCATGAGGCTGCTCTTTTGGGCCACGATAAGCGCTAATAACACTAAAAACGCATTCTGCTGAGAGTAATTTTGCAGTTTATTAACTTGTTTATCTCTGTTTTCGTCTTTGTGAAAGAGGGGAAAAAGGGAATCTTTTAGCATGAATAAGCATGGAAAAAAAGGATAAATGTTATTTACATTGGATATCCATGAAATGGAGGGACTGATATTGATTAACCACTTATTTTGGATCTTGATATATTATTTTTTATTTTATTTTGAATTTGAATATTAGAAGTAAGAAATAATGAATGGACCAGAGAGGAAACAAGGGGGTGCGCAATTCTCAGGCTGGCCTTACCGTATTTAATTCGCCGCTAAATAAAAGTTTAAGGGCAATACTCGGAAGTCCAATTAGCTCTTAGGGGCCAGTCGCCTAACTCTATATGTGTCTGGGCTTTGGCACTTTGTGGGTGGGCCGGTGGCGTACCCCATTCAAATTGTGGAGCGATGCTACGCCCAACGCTCCAACGCTTTAATGCGGACGTGCTTTTCCGCTTGTTTCGCCAACGAGCAACGCATGTGTGTTTTGGGTTCGCTTTGGGAAGGCTCCCCATGTGGGGTGATAAGGTTACATATTAATGCATACAAAACGAGGCTTCGGGCTTCTCTTTTTCTTCGCCGCCATTATTTATTCAATTGGGAATCAATTCCGCATTTGCAACGTTGGGGACTCTCTGCTGTTCCTCATGCCACACGAGGCAGGATGCATCCCATGCGTGAGGACCCTTTATCGCCAAAGAGAGAGGGATCAGTGGCTCTTTACGGGAAATGAGGCGGCAGCAGCAGCAAATGGAAGAATGCTAATACGTCTCTTCTCTTTCCACCACTTTGACGACGTTGGACCCAAAAGGCGGACCACATGTGAATGCAGAGCACGACGCACTTACTTGTGCACTGTTGTTCGACTTGTCGTGAAGCGGGATGGAGCCGTCAACGACTCACCTGGCGGAGATGCGAGCTGGAACGATGATCTCACCCGACTCGCACCGTGTGTGTTCCCATCGTACATGCGGGCGCACGCAGGGCACTCCAGAGAGCCTATAAACCGTTTTTTAAATTTGTGTATGCTCACATTGGTTACGTCGCACACGGTTTCCTTCTTGGCAAGAGACCCGGTGATGTTTGGGCACAACTGCAGAGTTTTATTGGGGAGGACGCGAAGACCGCGAGAGAGGCGTCTTCTCTCGACACACAGGAGGCCGGAAGAGGGTGCGAGGGCTTTCGAGGTTGGATGCGACTGCAGTTGGAGGCGCGTCACGATGATTGGCCGCGAAGTGTGATTGTGCGGAGGCAGCGCCGTATGACGTGTAGTACTGCTGGGCGGGGAATTGGACGGAGGCTGGCACGGAGTGAAGAGAGAAGTGACACACCCGAGAGGCAAGAGGCCAATGTTGCAGTGACGTTGGTGAAGTGTTTTCCATGGGGTGAGCTGAGAGGTTTCTCCCATGGCGCTTAGCTGTGCCCGCGCCAGCCCGTGTTTTCTATCTTTTTGGCTCCACAGAGTGTCCAGGCTTTTGGTTCTTGCTTGCTTGGCACTCCTCCACCATGGGAGTCAACGAACCACGACGACCTATCGGGATGCCAAACCCACGGGAATCGTGGGCTTCAGCGTGGCCAATCTGGATCAGTGAGCGGAGACCTGCGGCAACTCATTCTGCGGCGAGTATCTCACGCACTGTCACGGGTATCAGCGCCTGTGTGTGTCTACCCTATGACCGGCATTTGTATGGCGTACGCCCTTTGCAAGGCTGAGGGAAAGGGCGGGAATTCCCACGGGCACATGTCTGCGGTCATAATGCGTAAATTGTGGACTTGTTTGTGCGGCAAGGCAGCAAGGTCGCTCAGGGGATGCAGCATAGACAGGGAGTGCACTTTCTAGCGGCGCGTGCTTGGTGACTACCGAGGCGATGCCCCCCAAAGGGACGTATGTGGGTGATGCAGATGCACTGGATATGGATATGCGCAATGCCATGCTTCGTGACAGGGAGCGAGGGAGGAGTAGCGTGATTCCTCCTGCCATGGACCTATCAACTTTTGAGGAGTTGGGGTGAGGCCAAGGGAACAAGTGTGTGTGTCTTCAAGTTTTTGCGGGAGGACGTGCAGAGGTTGGATTTCTTTTGTTACTTTGTTGTCACGGTGCCTGCGGCGACGTTAATGGGGGGTTTGTTCTCCAGAGGCATTCATTGTGCGATTTGTGCGTGTTCGGTGTCCAACGCTTTCATCACCACCAAATGGGGTGTTGCGCAGGATCGGAATACGTGGATGTGCAAGAGCATTGTGTCGCTCACCCGTAATAACGCACACGCGCACAGTTTCAGCGCGTCTGATACGTCACGTTCTTCGGAACGGTCGAAATCACTTGTGGGACATCACTTCATTTGCGGCGTCGGGACAGTGAAGTAAATGGAGAGATATGCCGAGAACGCAATGCCCCTCCATAATGCCGCAGGCTGGCGGCGACAAGGATCAGGGAGCCTCTACCCAACATTGAGAAGACGGCAGCACTCTGATGATCCGGTTTGCTCGTTAGGAACTTCTAATGTAGTGCACACCGTGTGGGCCTTTTTGCTGCGGATATGCAGAGGGGTGATGTGGGGTGGAATTATTGTTGAAGGCAGCACGGACGCCGCCTGAACTTTATTGGAGGGATGCGTGTTGTTATTCCGTGCTTTCTGGCCTGCGTTGTCGCACTCATGCTTTGTGTGCGGATGGCCACAGTAGTGGAGCTGAATACGGTTCAATGTGTGTTGCTCACGGGGACTGCGCGACACGTGTTTTTTTTTTTGGGAGGCCCAAAGGAGGGGCGCATCGCCGTTGCGTGATTCCCGCGGCAGTCCATTACCCTGCGACTGTGCGTGCCGCCGTCCGCTGCGCCACTGCAAGCCTTTGCCTTTGTGAGAAATGGGGAGCGTGACTGCTGTGGCGGTGGTCGAATGTTCTCGAATTGGTGCTTTTGGTGATTTCACTTAGAGCGCCGAGCAGCGAGGGGCTGCACACGCCCAGGAGGTGGGAGTGTCAGCTGCAACCGCACCTGCGATTTGCAGTTGGGATGTGACATGTTTCTTTGGTATTTTTATTTTTGGTGATATGCGGGGCAGCGGTGCGTTTGCGTGTGCGGGCTGCTCATGGCTGCCGGTGTTGCCTTTCCTGCTGTTCTCCCGCTCCAGTCCTTTGCGTGCGACGGACCAAACGTTTTTACGGGCGTGTGGTGGGGCCGCGTTCTTGTTTGGGAAAAAAGCCTTTCGCAGGCATCATGAGACTGCTGCCGTCCGTGCCACACAAGGCAGTGGGGAGTTTCCTGGGATTTATTGGCGGGGTGGCACCGCACCCATGCCGTGTGGTAGGTTTGTATTCCGCAATGCACGGTGATGGGGATGTGCGGTGACAACTTCCTCCAGTGGAGCGACACGAGCAGCACGGGGAGTGGAACGGAGGAGTGGTGGCTGCGTGCTTCCAAGTGATACGTGAGTGGCGAATGCAATATGAAAGGCAGAGTCACGGCACTCTTTTGCCATGCACACCGCAGATATTTTCCATAAAGCATGCAAATTGCACTCTTTTCTGTTGTGTGGGGGATTACCGTGATGCATCGCTGTTGTGGCGTGTATGATTTGTGCTCCCTGCGTGTGGCCGTTGCTGCACCGAATTTACTTTTTATTTTGTGTGCGTGTCAGGGTTTATGTGCCCACGTCCTCCTGCCGAGTGTGTGCGGGATGACGGCGGTGCGACACGGGTGCGGGACCGTGGCGAGCGGTATGCGTGGAGGAGCCCTCCGTGCGCACCACGTTGTTGTTGTTGGCTCTCTCCAACACTGTGCTGGGTGGGTGGCATCCACTCGCCGTCGTTGTGGTGGTCCTCGTGCATGTGGTGTGCATCGAATACTGTGCCGTCACACTGTGTGGGTGAGTCCCTTGTTGTGGCTTCGATTTATGACTGTGCCTATTGTCTTTCTTTTTCTCATTCTCCACGTTGGGTGGTTATTGTTTAGATCTAACTCAAACCAACTAAGGAAGCAAGGAGAAACAATGTCTGGAAGGCCCGAGGAAGGACTTTACGGCAATTTGGAGAGTCAATCGTCCAATGTCTCGCAGGGAGATCGGAGGAGAGCGAGGTCGGAATTTGAGAGTGACACAGATTACTCCTCTGTGAGTCGCAGAAGATTGGAGGAAATGCATCGACCGCAGTGGACCATGAGCAGCAGCGTAAAGGACATCCTGCTGGAGGGAAGCACTCTCAAGAACAACATGAAGCTGAATGAATTCCTTCGGAGCAACTTGGGCGATGAGTGGGTTGTGGAAAGAAATGGGAACGTCGCTATGGGGAATTTTGTGTTGATGCCCACGATGTTTATTAAAGACAATGAAATATTGGACATAATAACGGCATTGCCGTCATACAGAGAGCTGAAAATACTATTGGAGGCTATCAATAAACTTGATGACGAGGGTGTGGTCTTTCTCGAGCAATGGAGGGACTATAAAGGAAAGGATACGGTCACTCTTCATGCAAGGGGAAAACTAAACGGAGTACTCACGCAGGTACAGAGAGAAGAAAAGCGGGAGGCAGAAGAAAGATTAAGGCGTGAGACAGAGGAAAGGCAAAGACGAGCGCAAGAAATGAAATTTACCATTTCCACTACGATCGAAGACGTACTGTTTAAAGGAAGAGTCCGCGTCAAGGAAATGAAGTTGAATGATTTTCTTACGATGGAATTGGACGGCAGGGGCGCTTTGGACGCCAATCGGGATGTCTTACTGAAGGAGTTTTTCAAGGATCCCAAGAAGTATATCCACGATGAGGGAGTACTGCGCGAAATAAAGACAACAGATGCTTATTTGAGGATGGAGAGGGCTGTAAAGGGTGAAATAATCTTCGAAAACGATCAAAGTAAGCTTGACGATAAAGGTGTCAGCAATCTACTTGGGTGGTCAGAAGCTGCTCCGGAGGTAAAGGCAATTGTTCATAAATTCACTAAACAGACTCTGGATGCAGCCCTCGAGGAAGTGAGGAACCCAACGACGACGATTGCACCGATTAAACTGGAGGGATTGTACGAGTCTGTGTACAATGCGAGGTGGAGCCATGTGGTGGAGGTTTCTGACGGCAACGGAATGGGAATGAGGGTGGAGGAGGGGAAACCACCGCAGTCATGGACGTACAGGGCGGTTGGCAACACCTTCGAAAAGAATGACGGTGTGGAGCAATCCGGTGCAGCAACTCCCGTGTTGATGGTTCTTACCTCGGACAAGGGATGGCCGTACTCGTGGAATACGATGCATGGGGCTGGTAATGACTTGTGTGTTAACTGTGAGGTGGAACGAGTGTGGCAAATCGTGCTTGACGATCTAACCAAGTGGTTCAGCAATTTTCATTTGACTCTCAATCCTTCACCCGTGCGGCGTCTGTTGATTGGGACGCCCGGGATCGGGAAGTCGATGAATGCCGGCTCGTACCTCCTCTACCAGCTGCTGCACTACGATGTCGAGAAAATCCAAGTGGTTGCCCACTGTTTTGGAAGCACGATGTACGTGTTTGACAAGACCAGCAGGACAGTGACAAAATACGAGGGTAATAAAACATCCAAGATTGTTTTGGGTGATTTGTGGCAGCGTGGGATGAAAGGGTATATTATCTACGATGTGGGAACGAACGGAACACCGCCCAACGCAGGTTTTGCGCCCTCTAAGGGATGGGGCATGATTGTAGTGTCATCGCCAAAGGTAAGCAACTATGATAAATGGGCGGCGCAAATTAGTTCCCTAAAAATCGTAATGAATTGTCCTGAGAAAGACGATGTAAAGGCGATGTGCATTTGGATGAAGCGAGGTCTGGAACCAACTGAGCAAGCGGAATACTGGAGGATGGTTGAAGGTCGAATGGATAAAGTGGGACCACTTCTTCGCTACATCTTTGATCAGAACGTATACAAAGATCGGATTGACTCGTGCGAAAGTACAGTTAATAAAATGACCTTGCCGGAAACCAGCTATTACTCTGTTTTAGGGACTGATAAAATGTGTGAGGGTAGCCACGTCTCTCACAAACTTGTAAAGGTCGTACGAGTACGAGGAAAAGCAGATGCAGAATTGCCTTACAATGCACTGATTTCTTCTCACCTTGCAGAATTAACGTTATGCAAGTTGGCGGAGTTAATGGTGCCGAATGATTTTAATTTACTCATATTGGCTATCAAGGACGACCTCATATCAAAAGTCCTTGAAGATCATTCCTTGTTTGCATTTTTAAGTGCGGCCTTTGTAAATGCAATAATACCGAAACTCACGGAGCTGAAAAGAACAGCAAATGCTCCACCACATCTCTGTGCGTTGAGAGTTTGTCCACATGAGCGCCCTCTCAAGCCCTTTCTTTTAGAGTGCCTGGAAAATTTAAAAAAGAAGATTAATATAGAGTGTCGGGTGCTGTACAAACCAGAGGTTAAAAACTTTCCACTGGTGGACGGCTTTTTCTTTGTTGATTCGCCGCGGAAGACGCTGGTTGGGCTGCAGATGACTACGGCGAGTGCGCATCACACCATACCCAGCACCGTGCGGCAGTTCAATGAGCGTATGGCGGAATATTTTAATGGTTGGGAGGAATTTTCTGAGGGATTGTCGTGGGATATTATTTATATACAGCACGCAGACAGCACGCCGATGAATGGCTGGCAGAGATGTGGTCCCGTCAATCCCAATAATTTGACCCCCGCTGAAGAAGAGATTGTGTCGTTCTGGAACGAAAAGGTGCACCAGTACCAAGTTTCTGTATCATCCAGAGACTTTAGAAGAGACGAAGCACCCCGAAGTGTGGAAGAACAACAACAACAGGAAACAGATTAGGAAATGAAAAGTGAAAGAGAGATTTTGATTTGTGGTAAATTTTTTTTTTTGAAATATATATATTTAGACACTTGTGTGTGCATACGTTGCAGGTGCACCACCATCAGGCGGCAGCACGGCACAAAAGTGTTAAGAATGTTCAACGCGAGTGATAATAGCAGTGACAGAAGAAATTAAGTGGGGAAAGGGGAATTTATATTTTTGGTAAAAAACATATTTCGAGTTGTTTGATACATGTGAATGTTTGTTTTTTTATACGACACCGGTGCACCATCCCCTTTGGGAGTAAGGCGCACAGATGCCAAAAAAATTACAACGCGATGTTTTTACACAAGGACAGAAAAACAAATCAGGGATGCCAGGGGCATTTTAATTAATGGTAAGAAAATATTGAAGGATTTATATTTATGTGAATGCTTTTTCGTTTGTATACAAGTCGTAATAAGAGAATTGCTCTGTTATTAACGAATTACTGTCTTTAGCTGTATCGTAATGTTA